GTGGCCTCGGACGTCGGCTCGAGAGAAACACCACTCGGACCTGCTCCGCTTCTCGTCTCGCCTTCGGTGAGCAAAGACAGGACGTTGAGCGATGTCGGGGGGTAATCCTTCGTCCTCTGCTCTTCCACCTTGGCGATCACGTCGGCGAAGGATCCGTAGGAGAGCATCTCGGACACGGACGCCCCGGACTGGTTCTTCGCCAAACCCCGAAGGCTGGCATCGAACTCGCCGCCCTGCAAGTTCTATCAGTTTAAGGTTTAGGCGGTTTAGGGTTTAGGGTTTAGGGTTTAGGGTCCCTAAGCGTGTTGCTTTTGCTGGAAACTTTGGTTCACTTCGAACGGGTGTCCTACTAACCAAGGAATACGTAGCTGCCGATATCAAATGACAGCAGTCTCACACATTCACACCTGACCCCTCCGAGCTTTGACTTGTCAGCCCGCTCACATGACTAAATTCTGTCGCGGCATTCTGATCTCTTTTCTTCTAATCTTGCATGCGTCCGTTCTTCGAAGCATAAGGACGAGTGGTAGTACCTGACAGAGTCATGCAGAATATTACGTCCTATCGGAAATATAATTATGGACGACTCCTTGTTCCGAACAGCTGCAAAATAATGAAGATGGCAAGCCGCCTGAATCTCGTGCATCAGGTCCAACACCAGCTGCACCGATTTCTTCTCGGCCGCCATCCAAACGCAACTTCCAGCATATGTCTCGTCGTGACGCTCCGGGTCCAAGACCAAGCTTCGTGCCTTCTGCTGCGACTCGGGCTTCTCGATGCACTTGGTCACGAGTTCTCTCATGTACGAATACCTCCAGCACAGCGTCTCCCATATGCCAATCTTTCCTCGGCCGCCCACCAAGAGATCCTTTCCCATGACCGTTGAGAAGACCCCCGTCACTATGCCGCTTTTGATGCTTCGGGCGAGGAATCTGTAATAGTCTCTTCGGCCTGCAAGGTCTGAAGCAAAAACCCTAGCCTAAACCCTAAACCCTAAACCCCCAATAATCATTTCAGCAATTGCGAAAAGTCATGCCTTCCAGCACATCCGGGATGTTGCGCTTCTTGAAGTGGCCTCGGACGCACGTCATCATCTTGTCCACCTTCGCCCACCCCGACACGGGGCCCTCCCTGCCCAAGCACATGGCTTCCAAGCGCTCGAACTCCAGCTTCAAGGAATCGCAGGACAAGACTTCATCCGAAAACACGCTCATGCACTTCAGCGCTGAGGCGGAGTATGGTCCCTCGCGACAGGAGTGCACGAGCACGGCCACTGCGTTTATTTAACGACTTAGAACGGGTGGAATAAAACGCCTGGCCTCGGTCGCCTCCTTCTTGTCCGCGGCCTGGCCACCATCCTTGTCTGTGTCGGTCGTCTTCACCTGCTTGAACCACTCCACCAAGCCTCGGTCGTCCT